ATGACAAATTTTTTTCTTATATATAAAAATACTCAACCAAATGTTTTTTGTTGTTTTGTTAGATATTTTTTATTTAACTATGGTTTATTGCCAAGTCATTTAAAGAGAGAATGTCTAGAATCACAAAATGAATATATAAAATATTATTTTAATATATTTTTAATAAATAACTATTTTTTAAAAGGAAAATGAAACTAAATCACATGTCGACAAACGTTCAGGATCTCTATAAAAATCTCACGAGTTTCATTTAAGATACTAGATGCATAGTCCCCGCGCAAGCGCGGAGGTTGGATACGTTGTTGATGTGTTGTGTAGTTTTATGTGTGAAACTTTGCTGTTTTTTTTAACATTTGTTTATCTGGCTTATCTATAATGGTGATGAATGAAACATTAGAAGTCACACAACTTGATTAGTCTGATAAAAGAATAAACATCGAATTCATATGAGTTGATATTTTCATATTTTATCTTCGTAGTGATTTTATCGACCATTCCCTTTATTAGTGATTTTATCGAGCATTACTGTTATTAGTGCTTTCATGTAAAAAAAAATTTAATGGAGACAAGACAAAAAAAGACATGTGTTTATTAGTGTAATTTTCTTTCTGAAATTATGTTGTATATATATATATATATTTTAATTGTGATGTATATGAGATTTATGGTCGATCTGAATGGTTCGGGGTAAATATTTATTATTGAAAAATATGTTTTTATTTATTTGATGATTATAATTGAATTGAAATAATATTGGAGGTTACAACATGATAACCTTTCTTATAAAAGTATCTAATATAGTTTCATAAAGTTTCAAATCCTTAAGCCATTTTGTATCCTAACAACCAGCATAAAAAATCATTATGAATCTCCCTAAACTTATAGGTATCCTGAAAAGCCCAAATTAATAAAAAAAATATCACATGCAAGCACTGCGTTTCGAACCCACGCACTCACGGTACCAACTTCTCATCACCAACTTACACCACTGGATCATTTCATCACTCATCAATAACATTCAATCTTACAAAATGTTATACGTTTTTGTTTTCCATAATAACACACGCGGGGCCCGCAAACTTGCTGATGTGGACATGCTAAGGAGCTTCAAAAGTGTACTATTATTATATAGATTCTCCAACTTATGGGTCCGATTGGTTGCAGCTGTAGATTTATATTTTTGCTGAAGGATTTTTGCTGTAGAATTTTGTGGTGTAGCTGTAAGATTTTTAGTTGTGAATTTTTAAAGAAAGTATGATTGGTTAATATTAACATTGTACATATATATTAAAATTAAAATTTATTATATTAACATTAAAATAAAATAATAATATCTTAAAATTAAATTAAAATTTCTAAATTGATTAATTATTGTATAAACTGTAAAATGATTATGATATAAATTAAAATATAAAATTTTTATTTATATATATATATATATGTGAAAGTTTTATTTATATACCGTTTATATGTATACATATTATTTGAAACATTTTTGTGAATTATATTTGTAAAAAATATATATATATATAATTATATTTATATTAATGAAATATATTACTATATATGAAAAGAGGTGTACGTACTTCTATAGAAAAAGGAAAAATATTTTCAATAGCACTTGAGAGAGTGCTCTAAAAAATTAGCTCTCTACATCCATAAAATAAAAGAAAAAATAGATATGGCTGTGAGATTAAAAAATTAATCAAAACTTGATTGCTTTTGTTTTAGTGCTGTGGAGAGAATTGAAGCTGTGCACAGCACACACAGCTTTGTCCAATCACCCCCTATATCTACTTCTCTTTTGAACTTTTCTCCTTTTTTATTGTTTCTTTTTGGGATATTATTTGAGATACAGATACTTCAAAGGGAAACTGTGATAGATAGCCATGAAATAAAGCATAATTAGGTATCTAGCTTAAAAAAAAACACCCACCATTATTACTATAATATATACTATATTACCTCTACTTGCCAGTTACTTGCCGTTTAATAATTGTAGACGTCTCTTCTTCATTTACCTACCACTCATATGTACAGTAAGTTCTCAACTATACTATGTTATTTGAATAAATGTATTTACTATTTCGTTGCTACTATTCTATTTTATAATAATGATTCATATTATATAGGATATGTATATTTTGATATTTAGGTTAGAGTTTATATTTATATTTAGGATTTAGTGATCAGTGTTTTTAGTTTAGTTTATGAAAGATTTGGATTGATGTTAAAATAACTATTACATCATTCTCTGCAATTAAACATTTTAAAACTAGAACAATATATATTATGCTTTTTTGTTGCTACTATTCTATTTTCACAATGTTCCATATTATGTACTATGTACATATTTTGATATTTGGGTTAGGATTTATATTTCTTGTTAGAGTTTAGTGATTAATGTTTTGGGTTTAATTTTTGGAAGATTTGGGTTGATGTTAAAGTAACTATTACATCATTCTTTGCAATCAAACATTTTAAAACTAGAACAATATATATTATGCTATTTTATTTGCTACTATTCTATTTTGACAATGTTCCATATTATGTACTATGTACATATTTTGATATTTGGGTTATGGTTTATATTTCTTGTTAGGGTTTAAAATTTAGTGATTAATGTTTTGGATTTAGTTTAAGGAGGTTTGGATTGATATTGGAGTAAGCATTGTCTTCTTTTATGCAATTATAGACATTTCAAAATTTGAATTATATGTACTATACTATTTGGTTGTTACTATTCTATTATGAACTATACCATTTAACATGTTCTATTCTATTTATATAGTACTATTAGTATCAACGTGGATGTTATAATCACCACAAGTCTAATAACGTCTTTTTCATTTAAGTGACAGAGTGTTACTGTCAACTGATTTTAGAAAAGGAGAAAACCGGAAAGAAATGGAAAAAATGCTAAGAAGTCAAATTATGTCTATATCAATGCTATATTCTTAATTTTATTCTTAAAATTGGCTATCTCACAAATTAATCCTACTTCAATTATAGTTTTGGTCAAATGAAAAAAAAAAAGAAAAAAGTCAGTTTCCTAATATGGGCCCTTAAAGATATGGGCCTTGCTGGCATTACTCATAAATGGGCCCTAAATGATAATTCGCCTCTTTTCGCGCAACAGTTTTTGAAAGAGGCGAAGTTCGAGCAAGTGATCCCTCCGGTGAAGATCGACGACGACGAATCCATAACTTACGAGAAATCGACGGATGCGTTACGGAGAGGAGTTTCCTTCTTCTCGGCTTTGCAATCCTCCGACGGTCACTGGCCTGGAGAAATCACCGGTCCTCTCTTCTTCCTTCCTCCCTTGGTGAGTGTTAGTTATTCTCTCTTTGATCCTTCCGATTTCACTCGATTATGTCTATCGGCGAACAATTTAGGGCTAGAATTAGGGATTTAGGGATTGAATCTGTATTGAAAAGAATCTGTCTCTAGTGTAACGAAGAGGCAATGAATTATCATCGTGCAGGTGTTTTGTTTGTATATCACAGGACACCTCGAGAAGCTATTCGATGAAGAACATCGCAAAGAGATGCTTCGTCATGTTTATTGTCATCAGGTATGAATCTGTTGTCTCAGATTTCAAAGCAGAGCTTTGGATTAGTGTTGTAACGTTTTGCTCTTTCAGAATGAAGATGGTGGATGGGGATTACACATTGAGAGCAAGAGCATTATGTTCTGCACTGCTCTCAATTACATTTGCTTGCGTATGCTTGGAGAAGGTCCCAATGGAGGACGAGATAACGCGTGTAAACGGGCTAGACAATGGATTATTGACCGTGGTGGTGTCACTTATATTCCTTCTTGGGGAAAGATATGGCTTTCGGTAAATTTTTCGGACCAATGTATATGCCACAGTTACAATCAGCGTTTTGAATTTATTTATTTATTTTGGTATGTGTAGATACTTGGGATCTATGATTGGGCTGGAACCAATCCGGTGCCTCCTGAGATATGGTTGCTACCTTCGTTTCTTCCAATACACTTAGGTTTGTTTTCTATTTTCAAATTTTGGTTGATAATACTTATTGTCTCAGCTTGAAATTCTCTTTTTAATGTTTGTGTTGACGCAAAATGTAATACAGCGAAAACTTTGTGCTATTGTCGGATGGTTTACATGCCAATGTCGTATCTATATGGGAAGAGATTTGTTGGTCCAATAACACCTCTTATTCTTCAACTGCGTGATGAACTCCTTTTGCAACCATACGAAGATATCAACTGGAATAAAGCCAGGCGTCTATACGCAAAGGTATGGATGTTTATAACCATTTTTAATCTTCGAATTTATAAGTCATTGCAGCATTAACATTTTGATACGTTCTTCCTGCAGGAGGACATGTATTTTCCACATCCTTTGGTTCAAGATTTGGTATGGGACGCTCTTTACGTCTTTGTGGAGCCGTTCCTTACACGTTGGCCGTTAAACAAACTTGTGAGGGAAAAAGCTTGTCGGCTGGCTATGAAACACATTCATTACGAAGATGAGAATAGCCATTATATCACCATCGGATGTGTTGAGAAGGTAAAATGTTATAACATTCTCTGAAGAAGGTTTGAATGGATTCTAAGTTGAATTTTTTTAATTCTGTAGGTGTTGTGCATGCTTGCATGTTGGATTGATAACCCTGATGGGGACTACTTCAAGAAGCATCTTGCTAGAATTCCGGATTACATGTGGGTCGCTGAAGATGGAATGAAAATGCAGGTGACTAATGGAGTGAAATTCAGATTATTTTGGTATATACTCTCTAGCGATGGAAACTTCTTTAACTTTATTGATTTTTGCAGAGCTTTGGAAGTCAATTATGGGATACAGGGTTTGCGGTTCAAGCTATACTTGCTAGTGATCTCCTTGATGAAACTAGGAATGTACTCAAGAAAGGACATGATTATATTAAGTTATCTCAGGTTTGATATTCTTTAATTATATTAGTTTACCTTGAATATCTCTATAGAGGTGTTGAATGTGTAAGAACTTTTGCAGGTTACAGAAAACCCGTCTGGTGACTTTAAGAGCATGTACCGCCACATTTCCAAAGGAGCGTGGACTTTATCTGATCGAGATCATGGATGGCAAGTTTCAGACTGTACGGCTGAAGCTTTAAAGGTAACCAAACGAGTCACTGATGCATAACAAGTTTTGCTGGAGCTTTCCAAGAGATTTATGCCTGAACGTACTTATATGGTTTTGTAGTGCTGCCTGCTGCTCTCCACCATGCCATCTGAGGTTGTTGGCCAGCAACTAGATACCGAACAAATATATGATTCTGTTAATCTCTTGCTATCTTTTAAGGTAAGTTTAAATCTGTAAAACCAATATCCTAAAAGCTTATTGGCTCTTGTTAAGATTTGCAGCTAAGACTTCATTTAAATTATATAGAGTGAGAAAGGAGGCGTGACTGCATGGGAGCCTGTCCGTGCATATGAATGGATTGAAGTAAGAGCTTCAAACACATTAAGGATATTTGCACATTTTTAGCGAATTTTGGAAGTTTTTAGGATGAGAAACTATGATGTTTAACCTTTGTAACTTGTGTTTCAGTTTCTCAACCCCACGGAATTTCTTGCTAATATCGTCGCCGAGCGTGAGTATGTGGAGTGCACCTCATCGGTTATACAAGCTTTGGTTATGTTCAAGCAACTCTATCCAGATCACAGGACAAAAGAGATAAGCAGGTTCATCGAGAAAGCGGTGCAATTCATAGAAAACAAACAAACACCAGATGGTTCATGGTATGTTACTTTAAACACAACTGATACATGGTAATGAAATATGGTTCAAGATAACTATAAGAGAAAAATGTTTTCCTCTGGTCATGGTTTATAGGTATGGGAATTGGGGTGTTTGTTTCATATACGCGACATGGTTTGGTCTTGACGGCCTAGCAGCTGCTGGTAAAACATATGAAAACAGTCTTTCTATGCGTAAAGGTGTTGAGTTCTTACTCAGGATACAGAAAGATGATGGAGGTTGGGGCGAAAGCTATCTGTCATGCCCTGAACAGGTACTTTATGTACTTGGTACATGCATGAAGTTATCGAACAAGTGTTGATCCTTTTTAGCATTTTGTGTATTTAGAGATACATACCATCAGAAGGGAATCAATCCAACCTTGTGCAAACAGCTTGGGCCATGCTGGGTCTGATTCACGCTGGACAGGTTCAAAACATTTCATTTTTGCTTCTTTTTTTTTTCTTTTTTTCATTTCCATATTTCCTCTGTTTATTCCAGGCTGAGAGAGATCCTATACCTCTTCACCGTGCGGCAAAGCTTATCATTAATTCGCAAATGGAAGATGGAGATTTCCCTCAACAGGTTAGACAAACAAGATTCTATTGGATTCAAATGATCTCTGTTATTCATTTGCTTACTACATTTGGATCTGGAATAATGTTTTATGGTCATCGAATTTGCAGGAAATAGTAGGAGTGTTCATGAAGAATTGCATGACGTACTATGCGACCTACAGAAACACTTTCCCATTATGGGCACTTGCTGAGTATCGTAAAGCTGCGTTTCCTAACTCATCAACAACATCTACCACTTCCTAAATAATTGTTGTACACATAGTTATAGACAAAAACAAAAGTATTGTTTATAAAACAATGTAATAGACGACAACATAAACACAAAATATTTAACTAATAATTGATTATTTCGTGTTGTTTTCATATCGTAAAAATTAATAAATACTAGTATATTCTTCTGTCTTTGGCTACTTTTAATTTTTAACTCTCTAGAAATCATAGTCGTCGTGGGCTCGATACGAAGATGAAAGATCATCTTTAAGTTTCATACTTGACCGTTGAACCATCCTTACAAGCGCCTCCACAACTTCCGATATCGGTGGTCGGAACTCTGGTTCCACTTGTACACATAATGCAATAATGTCGGCGAATCTTGACAATGACTTTGGTGAGTAAAGTTCATGTAAAGCTTGATCTGCTATGTTCGACAACACATCTATGTCGTGTAGCTGCGGTGTCGCCCACCGCACTAACGATCTCTCCGGCCTTGGCTTCTCTCTGTTAAAATATATGTAACTATCATAGGCTGAAAGAAAGTTGCAACCCTAGACTATACTACATAACAAATTAGTAACCCTAGACTACACTATACAGAAATAGTAACTATATACTACACTAAATAACAAAGTACGTAGTACGTAACCATATACTACACTATACAACAAAGTAGTAACCCTAGACTTGATAAGATATATACATGCCTGTAATTATGCTATCATAATAACTTCTGTATATTGTCTTACCATTCTTGTACGTCCATTCTCTGTATATAGTCAGAGCAGTATATCATCACTAATACAATCATTCAATTACACTTATTCAATAAGACTACACCATAAAACAAAGTAGTAACCGTAGGCTACACTATATAACAAAGATTTGTTATGTCAAATTTCGTTATTTGAAAAATTCTCTGTTGCGGTTTGCAGATCAGAGAGCTCGAACTCCGTAGCAGCACGAGTAGAAGTGGTTCGTTTTGCGAATTCCGTATCGTTGAAAGACATCACACGCGATGACACTGAATGTTTAGTCCCTTTGATCCAGTCCTTTGTACATTGTCATCATCTGAATCTATGGATGTCCTACCTGCAGTATAAACTCCTATTGATCAGTCACTTGCGAAACAAGTTAGGTCGAAATGTCTCATATACTTCTTATTGATCAGTAACGTGCAAGACAACTTAGCTCGAAAAGTCTCATGTACCTTTGTAATCATTGCCAAAATCGACGCGAAGGTCTTGTGAAGATCCATGAGATGCTAAAGATCTAAAACAGTTTTGGCTGTTGTCTTCATCGATGAAATGAGGAGAGGGAGATGATTTTTTCTTGGTGACCACAGCGATCAAAACCGCTATTAATACAAGAACTGTTAAGATTGCTTCACTCCGGTCACAACAGTCATGCCTCCTCTCCCGTTAGATCCTCCGGATTTACGACCGTATTTAACACCCGGTGGTGGTGGTGGAACAGTTTCTGTTGATAGTCATTGCCGGCTCCAGTCCTTTGACAAAATCAATTACAAAACAAGAGTGAATGTTTCCATCAATGTTGAAAAGTGTTCTTGTGTAGCACGAAACTCGATTAACTAACTAATAAGCTGTTTATTTAGGACAACCCAAAATATTTTGAACCTGAGAGGTTCTTGAGAACAAAGAAGAGCAATGGTATTGAAGGCTGAGCTGGCTTTGATCCATCTCGAAGCCCTGGTGCACTTTACCCCAACGAGGTGAACATCCAAAACTTGCAAATCCAGTCTTCCCCTTAAATTCATTATTTTTTTTAGTTTAGCTCTCGTTTTGTAACAAGACTATTGTCTCCTTTGTGGGATGGTGTTATGGTTAGAACAGATTCTTTTGATTTTTACCATTTTGGTGGAGGTCCAAGGAAATGCATTGGAGACCAGTTTACACTAATAAAGTCAACCGTTGCACTAGCCATGTTGTTGCAGAAATTCGTGCGTGGACCGCCAGAGTCTGTTGAACTCGTGAGCGGTGCTACAATCCATGCCAAAAATGGCATGTGGTGTAAAACTTAAGAGAAGATCAAAATGAAATACAAGAAGCAAGAAAACACCATTGTGTTTTCTGTTGGTGAAATAGTGAAACTTGGAAATTACAAGCAAGGGAACCAGGATGTATTATTTTGATACAATCCCATATATGTATTTTTTAACACATATTACATATACAATCCCATGTTTAAATTTGCAATTTCAAGATCAAAAGCAACCTTCTAACCCAAAATCAAAACAGTTGATTAGAGGTTTGTTTATGCTTCTCTGAAATAAGCTTTGATGAAGTGGTTGGAATATACTAAAACTCATAGATAGAACTGGAAAGGGTAGAATAACCCAAGACTTGTAGATGATAGCTCTTGTGTCACGACTCACTACAAAATCCAAAGAATGAGGAGGACAATGATCTAGCTCTTTAGATACACTTTCAATTAGTCAGCCAAATTCAAAATCACAGAAATACTAAATAGGAGAACCCAAAATGTTGGGACATAAAACGTGCGTTACAATTAAACTAAAATTACAATAAGGCAGCAGAGTCTTACCTCATCATATAATCAACTATAAGTAAAGAGAAATGATTCAAACAACAAGATACCATCTTAAAAGTAAAAACTAAAACCACTTAACTTATCTCTCCCCATTTATGGATCCATCGCAGCAACAGATAACGAAATCACAATCTACTCTGCCTAATTGTTTCAAAAGGCGGTACAGTTTCACCCATTTCAAGCAAAAATCTGTACTTGAAAAAAAAAAAAAAAAAAATCTCAACTTGACGTATAACAAACCGTTTGTCTCTAAGGATCTGAGCCTCTCACCGATTGTTAGGAAATCACAAGTATCATTGTCAATAACACCGAGTTTGCGCGGAGCTCCACCCCTAGTTGTAATAAGACCTTGAAAATTTCACCTAATGGTCTCCTCAACTCTTGTTATAAATTCCCTTCTTCACAGCATTTTCCAACAACCTTACCCACACACCACAAACACAAACACAAACACATTCTCTTCATTCCCTCTCTAAAAACTAAAAACAACAACCAATAATGGGAGAACCGGCGGAGCAAATACGTGGCTTCCACGTGAACACCACTAGGGAGCAGCTCATCACGGTGGCTCTTCCCGTTCACGACCACTGGCTCCCTCTCTCAAACCTCGACCTCCTCCTTCCTCCTGTCAACGTCAGCGTTTGCTTCTGCTACAAGAAACCGCATAACATCACTAATTCAGTGGCTCATACCCTCAAGACGGCTTTAGCGAAGACTCTAGTCCCCTACTACGCTTTTGCCGGCGAGATTGTCCTTAATACCGCCGGAGAACCTGAGATTCTCTGTAACTACCGCGGTGTAAATTTCGTGGAGGCTGATGCTGACGTGGACCTCCGAGAGCTTAACCTCTATGATCCTGATGAAAGTATTGCCAAGCTTGTTCCCACCTTAGAACACGGAGTCATAGCGATTCAGGTAACAATTTGAAAAAAACGTTAGGATTTATCATCTATTTTTAACTTAAAATTAATTTTCAATAAAAAAATTATCAACCATATATATATGAGAAAATGACTAGGATACCACTAAAATTTTTTTTGTCACAAATATAACACTTAAGAATAAAAATGACCAAAATAGCACTTAATGTTTTATCAAAAGAGATAAATATACACCTATATCCCAATGATAAATTAATTTAGACATTAGGGTTTAAAGTTAAGGAGTGAGATTTAGGGTTTAGAGTTTAGGGTTTAGGGTTTAGAATTTAGGTTTTAGGGTTTAGAGTTGATGAGTGAGATTTTGGGAATAAAATTTCAATTTTTGAAAAATAAAAAAAAAATTAAAATTTTCAAAAGATAAAATGCTATTTTGGTCATTTTAGTTTTTGAGTGCTATTTTTGTGACATAAACTTAGAAATGTGCTATTTTGGAGATTTGCCTCATATATATATATTAGTGTATTAATTCTCCATTACAGTAGTTCACTACAAAAACATAACTTTACTTTTGTTTCATTGTCTAAAAAGGTGACTGAACTGAAATGTGGGAGCATAGTTGTGGGATGCACATTTGATCATCGTGTTGCAGATGCGTATTCCATGAACATGTTCCTTGTATCGTGGGCCGAGTTCTCTCGATCAAATGTACCAATCTCTAACGTACCATCGTTTCCAAGATCTTTGTTAAACCCTAGACGACCATTAATGGTCATGGATACATCTATAGACCAGATGTATATACCTGTCACGTCCTTGCCCCTTCCCCAAGAAACCACCAATCCAGACAGTATCCTCGCGAGCCGTCTCTGTTATATCAAAGCGGATAACCTAGTCAAGCTTCAAACCCTAGCTAGCGGCTTAAAACGTAGGACGAAACTTGAATCGTTCAGTGCGTTTCTATGGAAACTCGTGGCCAAACACGCTGCAACAGATCCAGTTGGAGTCCCGGCCAAGAACGCGAAACTAGGGATCGTTGTGGACGGAAGGAGAAAACTTATAGAGAAAGAAAGAAAAACTTACTTCGGAAATGTACTCTCAATCCCATTTGGTGCACAAAAAATCGATGACTTGATCAGCAAGCCATTGTCTTGGGTGGCCGAAGAGGTTCACAAGTTCTTGGATAGTTTTGTGACCAAAGCACATTTCTTGAACTTGGTTGATTGGGTTGAGACACACCGTCCAACACCTGCGGTTTCAAGAATCTACAGCACCGGGTCAGACGATGGACCCGCCTTTGTGGTGTCTTCAGGGAGGGATTTTCCGGTCAGCCAAGTGGATTTCGGGTGGGGCTCGCCGGTTTTCGGATCTTATCATTTCCCATGGGGAGGTAATACAGGATATGTGATGCCTATGCCGAGTCCGGTGGTGGACGGAGACTGGATGGTTTACTTGCACCTCACGAAAGGACAGTTGAAGTTTATTGAGGAAGACGATTCTCAAGTGCTTAAACCTATTGACAATAATTACCTCCAGATTTAAATTAAACCCTAATATTTTGGTTAGTGCAATGTCTAATAACGGGTCATTTGTGTTATGCATGTCGTATGTCATATTAAAACCTTATTAATCTTATTATGTTTGTGTTGCGTGTTTGGTTTTATACGTTTTCATCTTCCTAGTTAGTATATTTTAGCCCCAAAATCACAACTAAGCAGACTTAACTACTAAACCTAGACATACCTCTATTAATATAAATAAAATAACGTACTTTTTAACTAAGATATTGCATACTGATGCTATTCATCGTCTAAATATTCAATCTACAAGATTCTAAACCGATACAATGGAACTATGGGAAGCGATTGCTAGTAGTATGGTATTTTTTTGAAGATATTCAATTTTCTATCACTAGAGTAATATAACTTATTATATCTGTTGATTTACAAGCACCGTAAGAGCAACATTATTAGTAGTCCCTTAGCATTGTCCATTAGGGGAAAAATTCCTTAACTTTTAACTCAAAATGCTAATGGACATCCGTAAAGTCCTTTATGCTTGCCCCTTTTTAAGTCAAGGGACTTTTTCCTTAAGGGATTTTACGGATATCCCTTAGCGTTTTAGTTAAAAGTTAAGAGACTTTTCTTTTAAGGGACAATAATAAAGGATCGCCGATAATGTTGTCCTAAGTCACGGTTTGGAGAGATGGGAGCATAATCAGATAAGGCACTTAAAAAGGGGCAAGCATAAGGTTTTGGTCTGACCAAAAATATTTTGCCTGTTTTCCACTATTTACTATTTTTCTTTGATTTGTTGAGTAATATTTCCTTTGTTGAATCAATTATTTTCCAGCATTCACTGCATAGTTCGACCCTATTGGATGTATTATAGAGCTTGCATTTAAGATCAAAGTTAATTTGGTTTACTTAATTCTTGCTAGACAATTTATTATATATATTTTTTTAATGTTTTGCAAACATGTATCCATTTGATCCCCTTCAACTGCTTTGTTCAATGCATGAACCTCTAATATATATAAAAAAACCTCTAATATTATGTGCTACTGTACATAGGCATCACATATCTAATATATATAAAAAACCTCTAATATTATGTGCTACTGTACATAGGCATCACATATCCTGCATTACGTCCCCATGGGAAAATGATAATATCCGAAAACCAGTGAGCCCCACCTGAAATCCACTTGAGTCACTGGAAAAGTCCTCCCTGAAGACACCACAAAAGCGCGTCCATCTTTTGACCCGGTGCTCTAGATTCTTGAAACCGCAAGTCTTGAACGGTCACTACAAGAAAACATAGTAATTTATGATGAAAAAAAATTTGCTAGAAATTTCTGCTGAATATAAAATTTTATCATTCGTCGGTATTTCGTCGGAAGTATCTTAGAAATTTCTGACAAAAATATTTCACCAGAATTAATTGAGAAAATACCGATGATAGTCGGGTAAGATTAAACAATTTAGGGTATGGTTTTGGGATTGATGTTTTCGTCATAAATTCGTCAAAAAATTCTGTTTATATAAAATTTTATATAATTTTTCCTTATATTTTATATGAATTTCTTAAAATATATATGTAAACATAATTTATATTTATTTGATAACAATAATAATATTCGTAAAAACAGTAGTGTTGTTTATATAATTTTATTAATAAATATGTTATACACGAATTGAGAAATAATTAACAAACTCACGAAGCATTAGTTGCACTGGTATTAGAAAGTATTAGATTTTGTTAACTAACTAATAATTCTTTATAAGTAAATTTATCTAAAAAGTTTTACATAGTTATAAATACTAATGAAAAATTTCAGAAATAAGTTTCGTTATTTTGGATGTTTTAATTGGTGATTTAGGTGACTTCCCCTATGGTCGGCCCTGTCCACTGTCCACGATACAAGAAACATGTTCATGAAATACGCATCTGCAACACGATGATCAAATGTGCATCCCACAACTATGCTCCCACATTTCAGTTTTTTTTTTTTTAATATTCATTTATCAATCCCGAAATGGGCATCAAATACAAATACAAACCCGACTCGAATAAATTGATCTAGATCAGATGTTAACAGTTCTAGTTTCGCATCACCCGCGTTTTGCTAGAGAGCTTAATAATCACTAGACTACCAAACACCGTTCTCTTCCGTTGACGCTAACCTCACATTTCAGTTCAGTCACCTTTGTTTTGGGACAAAGCTGATTAGTATGACTATGAATTAGTTATAGAACTCACATCATGAGTCATAACTAACGTTCTAAAGATCTATTAATTGCATAAAAAATCTATTATTTGCATTGATTGGCTTCGTTTAATTATCTTGGATTCACTTCTAATTGTATTATTTATATATATGATAAGATTAAAAAAGAAAATTTGGTTTGAAATTTCATATATTCTTTAGTTTTGATATTGATTGTCTTCATTTTCCAACCAATCAATAGTTTCTTTTTCAGAATAAAAGACTGAATTTGATAATCCGGTGAGCACCCATACCGTATTATGTCTCGACTTTACATCAATACTATTAAAAGAGAAGGAGTCTTAAAAAATCTACCTATGAAAGGTTATTGCACCCTTTCATTTTTTAGTCTAACCCATATATAACCAAATCATATATAACTACCCTATTTTATAGTAACCAAATGAGATTCCATTATTTTCCATATTTTATCTATTACGAAAATTGATATATTATAACTTCCTTTTTCATCT